TTAGCTAGATTTTGAATTAAAGTTTTTACTTCTCTGTCTTGTTCCATTTTAGCCGTAGGTTTAACTTCATAGACTCCAGGGATAGGATTAGGTGAGTTTTCCCAATGTTGAGAATTTTCAGCAAGTCTTATAAAGAAATCATTAGCTTGTGTTGCGGTTTTACTAGGGAATTGCCCCTCATTCATAGATTCTACTAAAGCACGAGTCGTAGGGTTTAGACCATTGTAAAAGCATTGAACTAATGTTTCCATAGGGATTTGATGATGTGGACATTGTATCTGTAACTTCTGTATGCTTCCAAGCTTCGAAGAATTCCTCCGTATGCTTCTGTCTAAAAGTCTGGATCTTGTTTCTTAACTCTATTGTCCGTGACATGGGATAGAACTTAGTGAGGAATTTTGTGTTCAACTGATCCCAAGTGCGGATAGAGTTTCCGGCTAATGAGTGTAACCATTGAGATGCTTTGTCATTCAGAGAGAACGGGAATAACCTTAAACGAATACCATCAACGCCAAGTCTAGTTTCATTAAGAGTTGAGCGTATTTGGACGAATTGATTTAAGTGAGTATAAGGGTCTTCTCGCTCATGACCAGAGAACTTCGGCAACATGTTAATGATGCCATAGTGAAGTTTGAAATCAGCTCCATCTTCAAGCGCAGGCAGAACGATGCAATTAGGATGTCCGGTAGATTAGGGAGCAAAAAGATCACGAAGTGGCCTTTCAGGGTTGGCCATTTCAACAGGATGGATCAAGTTGCTACTATCGGAATCTAATTCAAAGGCACTATTTGCTAAGCCTAGAGGACTATTATCAAGATCGAAATCTATCGGACTCACCTCTAACTTATTAACAACCAAAGAAGTATACCTAATACCAGAGCGTAAAAGGATATACTAAGGTGTTGATACCGGGTCTTTTGGTGCGTACCCTTTACCAACTTATTATCAAAACTAAGTTAAGGACACAAAGCAAACACTTCACACTTCTAATTATTGAAAATTATACCTCTTACGTGAGATTCGAGGTGTTTAGAGTACACGTACCTGTTTCCCTCGAACACGCGCAAACGAGCAAGTAATATTCAAAATGGCAAGATACAGAATGTAAATACCTTAAAAGTGTTTGAAACACGTACCTTGGTCCAAAAACTTAAAATTCTGAAATTTTCAAAGTTTTCAGAAAATCCAAAAAAATTTGAACCTACTGATCTACTCGCCCCGCGCGAGTTCCTTGAGCTTGTCAGGTCGCGTCACGCGAGCTTCAAAGAAATCCGAAATTTTTTTGATTTTTTTATTTTTGGGCGGGCGGGCTTGAATGTGTTGATTCGCGTCTATAAGTACTTTGGATCTTCTTAAAGCGGCAACGGCGCCAATTTGATATAATGGTTTTCCAGGTTCAGCGGTGCTTCCCGTCAAACCTTAGCAGTGCTAGCAAAACCAATCTGCAAAAACAAGTTAACTCTACTAGCACTACTAAAAATATATCAAGTGATTTTATTTTTACTAGTTTGACAACTAAACCAATCCTAAAATTAGTGTAGAGGCAAGTATCGGGTATCGAATCCCATCTTTCCAAGAATTGGGTACTTTGACTACAAACAAGAAACAACGATGATGTATGATGTCGTTTATGGAGGGATTGATTGATTGTAGAGATTTGATTGATTGAGAGTAATATGATTGAAGTTAAGAAAGTGCAAATAAAGTAAATCAAGCAAGATAAAATAAAGGTTTGTGAATATGGAAGGAAAAGCGGGGTATTTCGTTTCATAGGTAAGTGTCCAAATTAACTACTCATGCTTTGTTTACAATGCATCCAACTATAAACTCATAGACAAGCAATGATTGGTAATGAGTTTCCTTGCTCTCGACCCAGGAACTCGACCTCAAGAAGTATTCAAGACCCAGTACCTCTCATCTCGATGCCGTCATGCAAGTAGTGAATCACTTCTCTTTATACTAACTGTTAACTCCCTTCTCTCTCTCGATGCCAAGATATATTAACGGGCGTATGTGGCTCGAAAGTCTCTACACATGCAAAAAGATCTCTCTTTTGTTTATTATGAAGAACAAAGAGCAAAAGCTATTCTACACGATCAATCATAAAATAATTACCTTTCTAGCATGGCAAACATGGAACACTTGTAGTAAATTCTTCTACTTACCTAATCCACTTGAAAAACCCCATGAATCGATTAGCTCATGGTGATTGTGGGGATGATCATGATAGTTGTAAAAGTAAAAGACATAATTAAAAGACAAGTATGTAAAGACAAGATATTAAATTGCATGAAAAGTAAAGATATGATAAAAATATGAAGAACTTAAACTTGAAAAGTAAATAGACTTGTATTAAAATAAATGGAACTTCTTGTTCAACATAAAATAATGTAAAAACCTAATGATACTTCAATTTAAAATCAAAGTGTAGTGGTACTACATTCATCAACCAATCAAAAGGCGACACGTGGCATCATAACCGACCTGAAGAATTACTACCGACCTGACCCGATATATCATCACCGATCTATGTCCCTCGATCTGTCAGCTCGGATAGTACAAATATAGAAACGTATCACAATTAGATACTGAAGATATCCGATCGGCACGCGGAATATTTGTTACCTTCTATAACTCAATCACTTAATGATTTGATTGCCAAATCAAATCATGCCGGTTATCTTTTGTATCAAGGAAGATCTCTAAATCACCGCCTCATCATCTTCTATAAAACCTCAGAACTACGGTGGCTTGATCTCGAAGTTCAACATCCCCGAACTAGAGTACGTAGGCAATTTCGACCTCAACCGAAGTGCAGCCCTTTCCATTATCAAATCCCCTCTTGGTCCT